GCTGGGTTCTATGAAGAAAAATGTGGCATCAGGATTGGAGGAAGACTCATTAACAACCTGCAATATGCAGATGATACAACCTTGCTTGCTGAAAGTGAACAGGACTTAAAACATTTACTGATGAAGATCAAAGAGCTCAGGCTTTGGTATGGATTACATCTCAATATCAAGAAAACAAAAATCTTCACCACTGGACCAATAAAAAGTATTCTTATCAATGGAGAAAATGTTGAAGTTGTCAAGGACTTTATTCTTCTTGGATCAACTATCAACACTCACGGAAGCAGCAGTCAAGACATCAAATGACATATTGCATTAGGCAAATCTGCTGCACAAGACCTTTTTCAAGTGTTGAAGAGCAAAGATGTCAGCTTGAAGACTAAGGTGCACCAGACCCAAGCCATGGTATTTTCAATAGCTGCATATGCATGTGAAAGCTGAACAGTGAATAAGGAAGAATTGATGCTTTTGAGTTATGGTGTTGGAGGAGAATATTGAAAGTGCCATGTTCTGCCAAAGAACCAATAGATCTGTTTTGGAATAAGTGCAGCCAGTGTGTTCCCTGGAGGCCAAGATGGCTAAACTTCGTCTCTCATACTTTGGACATATTGTCAGGAGGGAGCAGTCACTGAAGAAGGATATCATGTTAAGTAAGTGGCGGGTCAGAGAAAAAGAGGTTGAACCCCAACCAGATGAATTGGCCAAGTGGCAACATCAATGGACTCAAGCGTAGCAACAGTAGTGAGGTTAGCCCAGGATTGGGCAGTTTTTCGTTTTGCTGTGCATAAGGTCGCTATGGGTCGGTACCGACTCAATGGCACCTAACAACAACAACATAAAGTTTCTGAGGAACAGCTGTTGGGTTTGAACCACATACCTTGTGGTTCGCAGTCCAGTTCTTATCCTACAGCACTCCACCAGAAGCAAATATATGGAAATAATATATCATTAATAGCTATTGGGGTGGGAGAGGTGTTCTAGTGGCACAGTAGGTTCCGTGCTTGGCTGCTAAAATGTTGGGTGGTTCAAATCTACCCTTTTCTGAGGAGCGGCTGTTGAGCTTGGTCTGCCTATGTAGCAATTCAAACCAACCTTGTGTTCTAGTGCTTATCCTAGAGTGTGAGAGTTTATATTAAGGTGGTTGAAAACTTTGGGAAAAGATAGTGGTAATGGTGTGGTTCTGTAGGATAAGTCCTAGACTGCTAATCACGTGATCGGTAGTTAAAATTCACTATCTACTACTCAGAAACCCTACTCAGGGTCTTTATGAGTCAGAACTGACTCGATGGCACTTAACAACAACAGCAATTATTGCACAACATGAAGAATGTAACCAATGTCACTGTACTGCAAATGTAGACATTGTCATACTGATGACTGCTTTGGTGTGTGTATTTCCACCAGAATTTCAACAGAGAGAGAGAGAGAAATTATAAAAGGCATACCTTTTTCTCTACCCCAGCCAGACACGATACATGTGTCATTGGGTTGGAATAGATATGGAGACCAGGGGACGCAGGCAGGGACTGATCCTGACAGCTTACATTCTTTTTTCCTTGGAAGTGGTTTCATTTCAATCAAAGCGATATCATTTTCAAAGGTGGCTCCATTGTAGTTTTCATGCATAATAATTTTGTTCACATACCAAATTTCGATCTCAGAATTAGGTTTTAACCAGTTGAGTAATGTTGTCCATATTTGGTAACGATGAACTTTACTGGGTCTATAATGGAAAAGGGAAGTAAATTATATTGAGGGAAAAGTAATATAAATATGGGTTCCTGACGTTTTTATATTTCCCCCTTTAACAAGACTTTTTTCATATTTTTCTATTCTTGTTTCCATGAAACAAGAGATTAAATTCACCTGTTGTTGTTGCTAGATACCATCAAGTTGTTTCGGATTCATAGTGACCCTGTGTATAACAGGACAAGACAGTGTCATCCTCACAATTGTCATGCTTGAGCCCATTGCTACTGTCACTGTGTCAATCTGTCTTGGTGGTGGGAAAGGGTCTCCCTCTTTTTCATTGAGCCTCCACTTTACCAAGCATGATGTCCTTCTCTAGGGATTGGTCTCTTCTGATAGTATGTCCTACATATGAGAGACGAAATTGCTCAATCCTTGCCTCTAAGGAATATTCTGGCTGTACATCTTCCAACACAGATTTGTTTGTTCTTTTGGAAGTTCATGGCACTTTCAGTATTCTTCTCCAACACCATAACTCAAATGCATCAATTTTTCTACAGTCTTCCTTATTCATGCATATGAGGCATTTGAAAACATCATAGCTTGGGTCTGATGCACCTTAGTCCTCAAATTAACTTCTTTGCTCTTGAACACTTTAAAGATGTCTTGTGAGGCAGATTTGCCTATTGCAATATGTTGCTTGATTTCTTGAGGCAGATTTGCCTATTGCAATATGTTGCTTCTATGAGTGTTGATTGTGGATCCAAGTAAAACAGAATTATATTCAATAGGTAAGTAAATCTAAGAACCACTCATCTGCTCAATATCAGGAATATATATAGCCCACTAACAGTGAGAGATGCCCAGAAGAAGAATGAATTTACTGGCTCTAGAGTGAGCATCTGACCTCTGAAGATTTTTATGCAGATTGCAGACAGCATCTTTCCAGATGTGTTAGAGAAAATGAGGAGTGGAGCCCTGATGAGTACTCTGATTACTCAAGACCTAGCAGTCAGTGCTCTGATTCTTAAAGGCTGGCTTCATCCCTGCATTGTATTATATTGTATTTATTTATTTGTAGGCCTTTCTTCCTGCTGGAGTCCTGGTGTGTACTGTAGGATAAGCACTGGACTGCTAAACTCAAGGTCAGTGGTACAAACCTACCAGCCACTCCTTGGAAGCCCTATACAGGGTTGATATGACTTGGAACTAACTCAATGGCACTTAACAACAGCAACAATTTTCCTGTTAGACTTGAAGTCAAGGATGGGTTTTAACACTTGGAGCAGAAAGGTGTTAAAAAATGCTATTGAAATGGTGAGTGAGTTAACTACTGTCTATCCCTATGTCTCACTCCACTTTTCAAACAATTTTCAACTCAAGGTTTCAGCCAAATTGTGAATCTAACATCATTTGCTCAGGGAACAATAGTCACTTCACAGAAAGTGGCTATACAGTGATCCTGTATTGGGTTTCTGAGGAGCAGCTGGTAAGTTTGAACTGGCTACCTTGTGGTTGAAACTGACCTTGTGATCTACTACTTATCCTCCGGCACCACATTAGGATGAGATGAGACCCACAAAAATAAGTAGGGGTTAGAGTACGAGATCATAAAGGACTTAATGGGTCAGGTTAAATTTTTCTGTTTAGTTTTTTGTTCTAAGGGGAATGTAAAGCCATTGAATCTTAAATGGTAAATGAACAAAACCATGTGTGCAATCAATACTTTTGCTGCACAGTCGAAAAAGGATAGGTGGGCAGAGTGGATGTAGGTATGCCAATTAGGAGGCACTCGTGACAATCCAGTTGCAAGGTAAAGACAGGTATCAGTAATGGTGAAGATGGAGTGAAGTTTTGAGAATTACATAATTAGAAATTAAAAATACTATGTATAGGTGATGATATATTATTGGCCAGCCTTGGGTAGGAATGAGTGAGTAAAATAGATCAGGGATGATTCTTAGATTTCAGATGTTGTCATTTGCTAAGATAGTAAACATTGTTGTTGTAGTTGTTAGGTGCCATCGAGTTGGTACCAACTCATAGTGACCTATGAACAAAAGAACAAAACACTGCCTGGTCCTGGGCCAACCTCACAATTGTTGCCACACGTGAGCCCATTGATGCTGCCACTCTTTGCCAATCCATCTCTCTGGGGGTTCTTCCTCTTTTTCTCTGACCCTCTACCCTATCAAACATGATATCCTTCTCCTTCTAGGAAACATTGAAACAGGACATTTTGAACTAGTATTAGACATTTTTTTTTTAAGGTTTTTATTGTGAATTGAGTGAAAGTTTACAGGGCATATCATCAGTTCTGCATTCAACAAATCATACACCTTGTTTCATTACAATGATTATAGTCCGCTCCATGTACCATCAGTTAACAGTATTTCTCTCTATCTACTTTAGCTTTTAAAAAAACAAACCAAAAATAAACACTTAAGCATATATAATAATTTACATCTCCAAAGGGCACATTCTACAAGTCTGCCTTCTGGTCACCAGCTCTTAGTCCCTGTCTTCCCATGAATCTAGAGTCCTCAGCTGCTCCCCATCTCCATGCTCCCATCTCTGCCACCGTCTCTGATGCTGCTGCTTCCCCTTGATGGTTCTAGGGTCCTCTGTTTCTGGACTGTAAGATTAACCACTCCCTGTTTTTATTAGAAAGTTCTACCTTTACAATTTTGACAGTCGCAATTAGTCATGATGACAATTATTCACTATTGAATCATACGAATCTTATCCCCATCTCTTTTGACCATACCCATCTAGAAAAGATGAAATCTATTCAGTGGGGACGCTTTCTTTCCCCCCATACTCTTAAACTAAACACCATCTTGAAACCTTGTAAGCCAGTCACTTTGTGCCTTTATTGCCTCCTCATTTTAGGTAGCCATTGTCTAAGTTGCCCGTCCCTATCTACCCTGTGTACAGAGAGGATAGCATTGATACTTGATGTGAAGACTCCTTCCTTCTCTGTTGGTATTTACAGTAACTACCTCTCTGAGTATAGGTCAGGTTCATCAAATTGTAGCAATTTACCCTTGTTTCCTTCATCAAAAATTTTTATTTTTTTGCAATCTTCCTCTAGTCGAGTTCGGATTATTGAGCCATCGAGGCTAGGTCAAAAGCGTACTATCTGCAAGTATGAACGTTGTTCAATATATTTCACCATTCAACATATTTGCTATCCTTTCCAGAATTGGGAGTTTACTCAGTAGACCTTTATCTAAGTTACTGTCAAATATAGTGAACTTGATTTTATTTTCGTAGTTCTGCTACTGACACAGTACATTGAGTTTAGTTACATCATGAAATTTCTCAGTCTGTCTGATTATGGATAAAATGGGAAGAATAATATTTACTTCTTAGAACTGCTGGGAATACTAAATGAAGCAACATATGTGGACATAGCTGACAGAGTATCTGGTTGGTAACAGTTGCTCAATAAATGATGTTCATTCATTCCAAAGGCCAGACTCCTGAGCGCTGCCCCTTTCCAAGTTAACCTGGATGCATTATTCAATACCCTTTGGGTACTGTCACTCAGTCACTTACATCTAACCTTATTGGTCCTGCAAGAATCTTTTATTTCCTATCTGTTTAGAAGACATCCTCTCATACTCCAATGCTGAATCAGCACCACTATGCCTATACCACTACCCTTTCAAGCTTACAACCCTGTCAAAGAAGGAAATATGTCTTGTTCTGCAGCAGTCAAGTCATTTCGAACTATTCAGCAGGCAAATCCCTTAGGGACTCATAGCTCATCAGTCAGGACCCATTGTGGCCTGGAGAACTTCCAAACAGTGAGTAGCATCTCTTGATGTGGTCCAGTGCAATGGTCCTGCCCTCAAGGGGCTGAATCATGTGTCCCATGTAAGTGATTCATCTAGAATCACAGAGCAAGCCAGTCAGTGCTGCAGTTGATTAGCTTTGTGAATTATTAACCCTGAGCTTTCATCAGTGCCTTTATTGCTTGAAACGTATATCAGATTTAGTTAAGGATCTGGGTACATGATGGGTACAGGATTGCCAGACTTTGTCTCTCATACTTCGGACATATTGTCAGGAAAGACCAGTCACTGAAGAAGGATATAATGCATGTTTGGTAAGGTGGAGGGTCAGAGAAAAAGAAGAAGATCCCCAGTGAGATAGATTGGCAGCACCAATGGGCTCAAGCATGGCAACAATTGTGAGATTGGCTCAAGATTGGGCAGTGTTTTGTTCTGTTGTGCATAGGGTCACTATGAGTCAGTACCGACTCAATGGAACCTAGCAACAACAAAATTGGTACGTAAGGAGTTCTGGTATGGCACTGTGGGTTAATGCGCTGGACTGCAAAGTTGGTTTGAACCACAAGCTAGGTGGTTCAAATTCATCAGTTGCTCCTCAGAAAACCTATACAGGGTTGCTGTGAGTCAGAGTCGACTCCATGACACTTAACAACAACAACAACAATGATTATGTGATTGGGAAAAAAATGAGTTGTGTCTTTGGAGCTTCTGAATTCGCGCATGTTGTTCTGAATAAACAACAATCTTGTTGAGGTGAGACTAGAGACAATGCTAGGTTAGTATATTGTCTTTTTACAAACTCTTCAGTCATGCATTTTTCCAAACAGTTTGGTTCCAGTTCCACAAAATGTCAATAGTAGCTATTGATTATTCCTCTATACATGTTAGCTAAGGGAAGTAACTTGGCAGCTATCAAAGATTTGATCTTAGCACCTGGGACAAGTACTTTGATATGTGTAGGGCTAGTAGGTTTTGGATAATAGGCATGAGAAGACCTGCTCATGAATATCTGAAGCTATTTAGCAGTTAATAAAGTGCATCTTCTCAACAACTTGTCTCAGATATACTTTCATTCAACATTTGCCATAATATATATTATCAGGAGGGACATCATGTTTGGTAAGGTGGAGGATCAGAGAAAAAGAGGAAGACCCCCAGTGAGATGGATTAGCAAAGTGGCAGCATCGATGGGCTCAAGCATGTCAACAATTGTGAGGTTGCCCTAGAACTGGGCAATGTTTTGTTCTGTTGTACATAGGATTGCTATAAGTTGGTACTGAATCGATGGCTCCTAACAACAACAAATATTACCCATGGAGTACTGGTGTGGCACTGTGGGTTAATGTACTGGACTGCAGGTCGGTTTGAATTGCAAGGTCGGTGGTTCAAACTCACTATCTGCTCCTTGGAAACCCTACATAGGGTTGCTGTGGGTCAGAACTGACTCAACAGCACTTAACAACAAACAACAACATATCACCGATTTCCATTGTTTCAGGAAATCCAAGATTTCACTGTAGACATCTTTTACCTGACACAATGTGCAGCAGTCAGAACCCAACAACCACCAATATAAATTCCTCCACAGTTTAATTTATCATCTTCTTTGATGGCCACCTGCCATGGGAAGTCCCCCTATAAAAAAAAAAAAAAAAAAAAAGGTAAATATTAAACCATTTCAAGAGGTATCTTAGGATCAAGCACCAAAGAAATAGTCCAAGGTATATTGAACACATTGGCAAAGAACTAGGCTAGAGAATTTTAATTTTTCAACCAACTGATGAAGCATTGGGGGCATTCATTGATCTATGCCATGAAATTTGGAAGAGAGGTCCTTGGCCAACTGGCTGGAAGAGATCAATATTTGTGCCCATTTCAAAGAAACGTAAGCCAATGGAAGGCAGAAATCATCAGATAATATCATTAATATCACATGCAAGGAAAATTTTGCTAAAGATATTTCAAAAAAACCTGCAACTGTACATTGACAAAGAATTGCCAAAGGTTCAAGGCAGATTAAGATGAGGCTATGGAAAGAGGGCCATCAGAGCTGATGTCAGATGGATTTGGGCTGAAAGCAAAGAACAACAGAAAGACATTTACCCCTGCTTTACTGAGAACACAAAAGTTTTCTATTGTGTGGTTAATGAAAAAATATGGACACCATTGTGTAGAATGAATATTCCAGAACACTTAATTATTCTCATGAGGAACCTGTACATAGATTAAAGAGGTAGTTGTTTGAACAGAAAGAGGAAAACTGAATGGTTTAACATTAGGAAAGGTGTGAGTCGAGGTTGTATTGTTTCACTATATTTATTCAATCTGTATGCTGAACACATAATCTGAGAAACTGGATTATATTAAGAACATTGCATCAAGACTGAAGAAGTCTCATAAATCACCTGTTATGCAGATGATATAACCTTGCTTGTTGAAAGAGAAAAGGACAAAATACTTACTGATGAAGATCAAAGACTACAGCCTTCAGCATGGATTGCACCTCAATGTGAAGAAAACAAAAATCCTCATCTCTGGTCAAAAAACAATATTCATAAAGATGGAGAAAAGATTGAAATTGTCAAAGACTTCAATTTACTTGAATCAACCATCAGCACTCATGGTAGCAACAGTTTAGAAATCCAATGACATACTGCATTAGGCATCTTCACTGCACAAGACCTTTTTAAAGTGCTCAAGAGCAAAAATGTCAGTTTGAGGACTAAGGTGCACCTGACCTAAGCCATGGTATTTTTAATAACCTCATATGCATGTGAAAATTGTG